GTCCTCTAGAGCCGCTGGATCCCAGATAGTCTCCATTTATTCTTACCCGAATTTATCATCGTCTTGGTTTCGTCTTACTCGTTTGCTTCATGCCAAACTTGGGAGCCCCTCCCATGCTGCAGCCACGCCCTCGCGATGGCCGGTGCCCCATGAAGGCGCGGTAGTCCTTAGAGCATTCTAGCGCCACAGGCGCGCGGTGACTGCGCATCCCGCAGGGGTCTGTCTGTCTTCCGCAATCTATTGGCCGCTTATGATCTCCTAGCGCAGAGTCCTCCTCAGGCAGGCCTAGAACTGATAAATCGCTCCAGAGCGTCCAAGAGCGCTCACAGATTCTGCTGAAACGTTCCAGAACGGCCACGGCGTCCGATACATCATTCGGACCCGCCAGGTCTCAGATGTTTCCGTTGGCCCTCATCCCGATCTTGTCTTCGCCCTGCCGTCGTCTTATCCTCCTGTTGGGGCGGCGCCGGCCAATCCGGCACCGATTCTGGCCAGGCTTGCCTCGGGCCCAGGACGAGCTTGGGCCGGTGCCGCCGCATTCTCCACCAGCGCCCTCTTGCACCTCCTCCTCGTCGTAGGTGGGAGGCATGTACCTCGCCCATGTGCCTCGCGGTCCGGACTCCTCGGGCGCGGCCCCGCGGGTACGTGGCGGCTTTGCGAGGAAGCCCCACGCCGCGACGCGGTTCGTAGACGTTCATGCGAGCGCGCATCCAGGGGATCCCGCCTCTCAGTTCAGACCTGGACATGTACATTTTCAGGAGCCAAATCCCTCAGGGCCCCATTTCTGAACCACCGATTCAACCCTCGCCGACCGCGGTATGGCATGGCGAGGCCTCGAAGGCAAAGAGAGGAAGGCACGTTAGCTCGTTAGCTCTTCCAAACCTCGGCGGCGAAAGCCGACAGGCTTCGCTACACCCTCGCCGGCCGCGGTGTGACGGAAGGCCGTGGTTTGATGGACTCTTGTGGCCCGAAGCGGGACCCCGAATGCAGAAGTTTTTGAGGATCTGGGGAAACAAAAACGCAGACGGTCGGACCGAGGTAGAAGATCGGGGTCGGTTCGGGGAGGGTATCCGAACGTTTATGCTTATGCCGTTACTTGTTATTCGTTGTTGTCGTTATTTGGCATTTTTTGTTATGCCGTTATTGTCATGCCGTTATTGATATGATGTGTGATGGTGTGCTTGTTATTGTCGTTATGCCGCTATGTCGTCCTCTGTTATGTTCATGTTTATTCAGGAGGGGGAACACTCACAGACACAATTAATCGTCGACTCCCAACAAAATTGGGGAACATATGGGAAGTGGAAGGGAAGACGAACACCCAGAAAATGTGATAAACTATGGGGAATCCTGGGAATTGTGTGTATGTATTTGTGTGTCCCTGGGCCCCTTTCCTCATGTCGCTGCTTGTTATTATTTGTTCCCCGAGCCCCCAAGCCGCACCGGGCGTATTTGCCCGGTGTGTCGAGGCCCTCGGCGGGGGCCCCCGCGGACCGACCCTGTTGTCGAGGCCCAGAGCTCCGACGGTGTGCTTCTCGGCCACCGGGGCGCTCCTTTCCACCGATTTTGGCCCCTCAAGCATCGGGGGGCCCCCAAACGGTGTGGTGACCACACCGTGTGGTGAGTCGGTGGCGATTCGCCCTGCCCGACACGCGCGCGGTCCTCCTCCGGGCTTGGGCGGCCCGCGAGGCCCGCGAGGTGGCCGGGCGGCGCGCCGGCTTCTGGCACCTGGACGCTGGAATCGACAGGTGGGCCACCAGGCGGCTCCTCGAAAGCGGGGAGCTGGCGGCCGACGCCGCCGGGGCCCTCCGCGCCGTGCTCGCAGGCAACGTCGTCACGGAGGCAGTGGCGGCGAAATGGGGGCGCCTTGCGGCATGCCCGCATTGCAGCGCGGCGCGCGACGACTTCGAGCACCGCTTCTGGGCATGCCCCTCTTGGGAACCCGCGCGCGCAGGCGCGCTGGTCCCTGAGGGCCTCACGCGCGCCGCGGCCCGCGCGCGACTACCGGCCCAGTCGTCGCTCACCGGAGTGCTGCCCCAGCACCCGCAGCTGGCTGCATTGGCGGACCAGGCGCAGTGGCCGCTGCCGCGCCCAGCCTTGCCGGCCCCTGCCGCCGAACCAGCCCTTGCGCGCGCTTGGACGGACGGCGGCTGCGCGCACCCCATAGACCCCCTCCTCGCCAGAGCTGGGTGGGGGGTAGTGGTGCTGGACCAGGGCGCGGGCCGCCAGGAGCACCGAGGGCCGGTCGACGGCTCGCAGACCGCGCAGCGCGCCGAGCTCACAGGCGGTGCATGCCGTCAGCCTGGCTGGCGGGGCCGTCGAGGTAGTGACCGACTCACGCTTCGTCAGCAACGGCGTCGCGGCGATCAGGGCAGGGGCGTCCCCCGAGGACTGGGCCCACGCAGACCTGTGGGAACTGATCGTCCCTCACTGCCGCAGTGGCGCGCTGGCCGCGCGATGGGTCAAGGGACACCTCGACGCTGCGGAGGTGCATGCGCGGGGCGTGACGCCCGAGGACCGCTCCGGCAACGCCGCGGCGGACCGCCTCGTGGGGTTGGCCGCCGAGGCCAGGCTGCCTCTGCTGGGGCTGCGCCAGGAGCGCGAGCGGCAGCTGGACGCGCTCACGGCCGTACAGCGCGTACTCGCCGCAGTGGAGCTCGCGGCGCTCAAGGCCAACCGCGGGCACGGCCCTGGAGGCCCGCGCGTGCGGCGGCGCTGGACGCAGGCGGGGCATCGCCGCCGCCGCCGCGCGCCCCGCGTGGCGGACGACGCTGCGGTGCTGGCCTCGGCGGCCCCGCGGGCAGTGCAGGGGCCAGCGCGCGCGGCGCTGGGCCAAGGGGCGGCCGTCGCGGCGAGGGCGATTTTCGCCGGCAGCTGGCGGGGGCACGTCGCCTCCCAAGGGCCCGCTTGGGTGGCCTGCGTGGCGTGCGGGTGTTGGGTCCCGGGCTGGGAGCGCCTCGCGAGCCGTCCGTGCAGCGGATGGGCGCCGCTCCTGCCCCCGCGGGCGGCCGGCCTGCTGCTCCTGTATGCCCCGCGCGCCGGGGGCTGCGAGGCGGCGTGGCGGGCGGGTGTGCGGCGGCGCCTGCTGGAACGCCCGGGCGCGCCAGACTAAATAGTTGTAGTTAGTTGCCCCGCGCGCTCGCCAGGGCGCGCTGCCTTGCCTCTTCGGTCTTCCTCCCCTCCTCCTCTGCCCCTTCCGGCTTCTCTGCGCTCTGTTGTCACCCGTTTTTGCCGCTGGGCTCCCCCCCAACAGAAAAATGTGGTGAGTCGGTGGCGATTCGGGGTCACCGCACGGTTTCGGGACTCGGGTCGTCGAGGTCACCGCACGGTCTCTCACCGCACCGTTTCGGGTCTCCAAAAAGCAGGGCCCGCTATCAGTGCGATCGTTTTCTCATTCGTTGTTCTGCCGATGGGCGCGGGCGTTCGCATTCCCCCTCCCCTCCATGGAGTAAGTCCTGGCTGTTTTTGGCGCCTGTTTCGAGCAGGTGGAGTTCCCACCGAAGACGCAATGAGGTCCAGAGTCAGACTTCCCCTCTCCTCCCCCCCCCCCTTCCGTTCAATGTCGAAACGCCGAATGAGAAAACGCTGTCTATCGCGCCCCAGGACCATCACCAATTGTGGGCGGCGAGCGAGGGGGGGAAGTAAGAAGGAAAAGGACATCTCAGAAGCCCTCGCGCCTTCGAGATGTCCTGTGTCTATGGGGAAGGCTTGGGCAACTTTTCGGAAAGCTGGGGGACTTCCGAGCCTTCTGAGAATGCCCGCCCATTATCACTCCCTTCTGGGCGCGCCGCCGAGATGTTCTTGATGTCTGTTGGATGTTTTTTTTGCGCATCGTGGGGGAGGGCACCCTCGAATCATCTTGTGGTTTGGGATGTTCTGGCCTGCGGAGGGTTTCGTTCGGACGGGGCTAGGACGAGCATCACTTTGTTCCAAAGCGTTCCAGAACGCACTCAGAGCTTTCCCGAACGCTCTGAGAAGACCGCGGCCCCCGAGATCCGCCAGAGCTGCGGGATCTCAGCGTTTCTCGATTTATCCTTGCACGAATTTATCCTCGTCGTGGCTTCGTTTTTCTGTCCCACGTCCGACCGTAAACATGACCTTTCGGAGCTCCGCGCGGATGATTTCTCGGATCGGCGCTGGGCCTCCCCTAATTAGGGCGGCGCTTCCGGCGCCGCCCGGGGGGGGCGCGCTCCTCGCGGCAGGAGGGGGGCCCAGTGCCGCTCCAAAAGCTCTCCCTCGCGGAATTCCGAGAGTTTTTGCAGTTGTTTCTTCCTCTGCAGTGGAGGCGCGCGCACATCAAGAAACCATATGCTGTTCGCCAGGGTCTTCGGGTTTCTTCGCTCCGCGCGCTGCGCGTTGACTTCCCGCACCTTTTTAAGAAGTTGTTGCGTTCAGGGTGCTGCAGGTTTTCCGTCAGGTGCACTTCGCTCGTGGGTTTTCAGGGTTGGGTTTTTGGCGAGGATTTTTTGCGGTTGCGCCCGCTCTGTATGATGGGCTGATTTTTTCCACCACCACTACCACCTCCACCACCACCACCACCACCATCACCAGCACCACCACCAGCACCACCAGCACCACCACCACTACCATAGGTAGGAGAGGGGGGAGGAGGAGGAGGACGGAGGGAGAGAGGAAGAGAAAGAGGAGGAGGAGGAGGAGGAGGAGGAGCAGGGCATCCCCATCTTCCTTTCTCCCTCCGTCCTGCCTGTGGTAGTGGTGGTGGGAAATGGTCCCATCACTCTAGGGAACGCATGGTCCTCCGGTCGCCCATTCATCGCCGAGTGGGGCCTTGTATCCCAGTCCGCCCATGAAAGTGCGGTTCCGCTATCAGGGGCGTATCGCCGATCTATCGGTGATGTCTCGCCGATTCCAGGTCGTTGTTTACCGCCCTGAGCCAGTCCCCGCTACCATTCCTCCTGATCCCCGAGCTGGGACACCACACCACCAAGCGGACCCGCCCTGGTGGGTCTTCTTTCCTTGTCCCGACCCTCTCCAACCAGGCTGAGGCCGCGCGACGTCTACGACGGTCCTGCGGACCTGCGCTTGCAGCAGTCCTGTGGCGACGCGGTGCCAGCATCGGGACCTCCTCGGGAGGCTGCCATCCTCCGGGGCCGGACAGTATGCGCCCACCTGGCGGCCTTCACGTGGGGAAACCAGAAGGTACCGATACCGTTACTCCCCGGGCCTCTCCCGGGGTGCGTTCTGACCAGAATTTCGATGCGAATCCAGCGGTGGCGACGATGGCCTCCCAGGAGGCCGAAAAAAGGAAAACGGGGCGAGGGTGGCGGGCGGTGTGGGTACCTTTTCCTCTTCTGGTCACAGGGACTGTCGTCGACGACGTCGTCCTTGTCGTCGTCGCCCCCGTCTTTTTGTGGCTCGGCATCCGCGCCTTCGGCTGGACGCGGGGGAAGCGGGCCAGGTTGCTCCCGGGGAGGGGTCCATGGGGACCGGCTTTATGGCTCAAGGCAGCGTCGTTTCCCGAGCTCTCGGGCTCTTCGGGGGCTATTTCTCCTCCTCCTCCTCCTCCTCCTCCTCCTCCTCCTCGAGGCGCTGTTTGCTAGTCAGACGGCACCCTCAGGTTCCTGATCTCCTGATCTCCTCCTCTAGTCCTCTCCTCCTCTAGTCCTCTCCTCCTCCTCCTCCTCCTCCTCCTCCTCCTCCTCCTCCTCGTGCTCCAGGGCCTGCAGGGATGAGGGCCGGGCCCCCAGGGAGGAGTCGAGATATCCGAGGGCAAACATGTCGGAGGCACGGACGGCGGAGGCTTTGATCGGGGCGAATTTCGGTCGGAGGACAGAGACGTCATCGATTCAAGCTCTCGCAGGGCCGCGTGGACATCGGGGATCTCGAAGAGGAACAAAAACGCATAAACATAAACTGTTGGCGCTCCGCGCGGATTTCTTGGATCCGCGCCTGGGCCCCACGGCGGCGCCTCCGGTTCTCCGCGCGCCAGGGAGGGGGGCCCAGCGCGAATCCAAGAAGTCCGCGTGGAGCGCCAGAAGTTTATGTTTATGTGTTTTTGTTTCCTCTTCTATGATCGGCGTTGGTCCCCCCTAGCGGCCTTGCGGCGCCACGTCTGGGCGATGACGAGCGAACAACACACACGCATACTCATGGGCGGGCCGGAGAGAGGAGGACTGGCTATGGGTATGGGTGTGGAATGTCGGACCCCGGGTGAAGCTCCCGTTCGAGCGGAGACCCCCATCCGACAACACGCACGCACAGCCCCATCCGTCCCCCGCATTGGTATACATATGTAATGTATGTATGTATGTATGTATGTATGTATGTATGTATGTATGTATGTATGTATGCATGCATGCATGTATGTATGTATGTATGTATGTATGTATGTATGTATGTATGTATGTATGCATGCATGCATGCATGCATGCATGCATGCATGGATGGATGGATGGATGGATGGATGGATGGATGGATGGATGGATGGATGTATGGATGTATGTATATATATATATATATAAATATCTACAGGGAAGAGCGTGTTCTACCGCTGCTGGCGGAAAGCCGAGGGGGGGTCACTGGGGGTTCCCAACCCGCCCCCACCCTCGAAAACCAGGGGGGGTCACTACTGGTTCGAACCCGGGGGGTCACTACTGGTTCGACCCCCCCCCCTCGCCGCCGGCAAACGATTCCCGCTCCTCGGGAAAGTTGGACAGTGGCGGGGATACTGGGACAGTGGTGGGAACGGTGGAGGTGGGGACAGTGGTGTGGGGACAGTGGGACAGTGGTGCGGACAGTGGTGGGGACGGTGGTGGTGGGGACAGCTGTGAGGGGACAGCGGGACAGTGGTGGGGACACTGGGACAGTGGTGGGGACGGTAGTGGGTAGTGGTGGGGACAGTGGTGAAGGCGGTGGTGAGGACGGTGGTGGGACAGTAGACAGTGGGGAGAGTGGTGGGGATAGTGGGGACAGTGGGACAATGGTGGGGACAGTGGGGACAGTGGGACAGCACAGTGGGACAGCGGCGGGAGCAGTGGGGACAGTGGGACAGTGGGGACAGTGGGACAATGGTTGGGACTGTGGGGAAAGTGGGGAGAGTGGGAACGTGGTGGGAGTGGTGGGGACGGTAGTGGTGGGGACAGTGGTGAAGGCGGTGGTGAGGACGGTGGTGGGACAGTCGTACAGTAAGGAGAGTGGTGGGGACAGTGGGGACAGTGGGACAGTCGTGGGGACAGTGGGGACAGTGGGACAGCACAGTGGGACAGCGGCGGGGACAGTGGGGACAGTGGGACAGTGGGGACAGTGGGACAGTGGGACAGTGGGACAATGGTGGGGACAGTGGGGACAGTGGGACAGCACAGTGGGACAGCGGCGGGAGCAGTGGGGACTGGGACAGTGGGGACAGTGGGACAATGGTTGGGAAAGTGGGGAAAGTGGGGAGAGTGGGACCGTGGTGGGAGTGGTGGGGGCGGTAGTGGTGTGGAAAGTGGTGAAGGCGGTGGTGAGGACGGGGGTGGACAGTAGTACAGTAGGGAGAGTGGTGGGGACAGTGGGGACAGTGGGACAGTCGTGGGGACAGTGGGGACAGTGGGACAGCACAGTGGGACAGCGGCGGGGACAGTGGGGACAGTGGGACAGTGGGGACAGTGGGACAGTGGTTGGGACCGTGGGGAAAGTGGGGGGAGTGGGACCGTGGTGGGAACAGTGGTGGGGACTGGGGACAGTGCGACTGTGGTGGGGGCACTGGTGGGGACGGTTTGGGGGGGGAGGGTTCTAACCGGTAGTGACCCCCCCTGATGTTTTGGAAGGGGGGAGGGGGTTCGAACAGGTAGTGACCCCCCCCCCGGTTTTCCGGAGGGGGGGAAAGGGGGGAGGGGTTCGAACCGGTAGTGTCTCCCCCCCTTTTTCAGGAGGGGGGGGGGAGGGGGTCGAGCATGTAGTGACCCCCCCTCGGTTTTCCGGAGGGGGGGGGTAGGGAGTTGGGGGGGTTTGCCAGAGGGAGGGGGGGGTCCAGCAGGAGCGGGGGGATTTCGCAGGGGGGGGGGGGCGCGTTCCGGAGGAAGAGGGGGGGATTTTTCCACAGTAAAGCGGCGGTGGATCACGCTCTCTCCCTCTCTCTCTCTCTCTTGTTTTGCTTTCTCTCGCTCTCTCTCTCTCTCTCTCTCTCTCTCTCTTTCTCTTGTATATATATATGTGTACATGTTATATATATATATAGATATATGTGTGTTGGTCGTTCGTCACTGCTCAGGTCCTGGGGCCCTCACGCGTCTCGATCCAGCCTGAGCGAGATCTCTCGCATCTGGATGGGCGCCAGATGTCGGGGTGCGCCACCCCAGCCCGTGCCTTCCCACTCGCAGAGGAGAGTTGAGATGGGAGGGATGCAAGCCAGAGATGCGCTCGCGCCACATCTGACATCGTATGGCTTCATCTCGTCCCTATTCCTATGATGTTCCAACCTATTTTAGCCTTGATCACCAGATACAACTTCGAGCACCAAGAAAGTGTCGAAACTTGAGGGTTTTCACGTGCCGTGCCCTGGGAGGCGATACTCTTTCGACACGAGTTTGATTTTTTTCTGGGTGCTCGGAATTATTTCCGAGATGTGGTCGTTAAGTACGATGGGAACAGCCTAGCACTATCCCATTCCCCTTTCCACTGCGCGGATGAGCGATAGTCACTCCGTGCGCGGCCCTGTCTTCAAATTGTTAACGATTGAGTTTCAAAAACTCGTCCGTGCGCCGCGGATGAGGCCCACCCCGCTCGGATTGGATCCGAGCAGTTTCTAGTCACGCTCTTCACCACCCACCAAACCACCCCAACCCAACCCGAAGGCCTCAATTTGCCATCCATTTCCAGTGGGGGTGGGTCGGGGAACATCGAAAAAACACATGGAACCCGTACCCCCCCGCCAACCTGAAATTCGGGTCAAATGCGGGTTTTCGGGTTGGGTTGGGGTGGTCTGGTAGGTAGTCAGCTCTTCACACATGTGCATATAGTCTTTGGGGTGTAGGTTTGACATTGCTGTCATCACGGCGATCACGTGACGGCGCGAGCAGCGCGGAGTCACAGCCAATCCCGTTGATGCGCCGCTGCTTTTGGGTCTCGCCAGTCCCCCGTCCCGGCTCGTTCTCTCCGTCTCCCTCCGCTCCTCCCATTCGCGCCTCCTCTCTCCTCATCGCTTGTGCCCGCCTCGCCTCATCCCGAGGTTGGGGATCCGCGCTGCCCCCTGCACCCGTGCGGGCGTTTGGTCCGCGCAGTGTGCACTATTCACGCGCCTGCTGGACACGCGGCGTAATGATTCTTCTGCTGAATCCTTGTCTACTTGCCGACTCGGGTTCCAGGTCGGGGTTGGATCTCAGACTCGGCTCTGCGGTGCGCAGCGGACAGGGGAACATCGCATGTGGCACTTGCCTTTTCGGGCACCCTGATCCTTACGCATCCTGAGTAGTCGTCATCACAATGTCAACCGCTCATTTTGGTATGCGGCCGCCCTTGGGTGTGATCGCAAGATCTCATCGTTCAGTGCGGATGATGCGGGAACATCCAGAGTCCAACTCAGCATTGATGTAGTCCACGTCCTTGTTGAGCTTGCTGGCGCATTGATCTTTTGGTCTCCAGCTAAGGCTTACTTGGCGTCGTCGGCGCTAGCCGTAAGCGGATCCACGAGACTGCGGTTGCATGCAAGAGGGCCTCTTGCATGTGCCCAGGCTGGATGCTCGCACTGTCTCCAAATTGCGGTCTCAAGTCCGTGACAGTGTTATAGAAGCCGCGACACTTGTCGACCTTGAGGGCGTCGGGTTTCGCAGCGTCGCCCTGGAGCCGCCCCTTCACGGCGCTTCGCACGCCTGTCGCCACGAGAGTTTCTTCGTTCTCTGGGGTCCCGCTCGTGCAATCTGAGTTAGGGACGACGCGCAGCTGCCCGCGCATCGGCTGCGGCGCCCGCCAGAGTTCAACTCTTCAGAAGGAGGTTTGTTTCTGCTCTTCCCTCTTGGCCGCGCGCACCCCGCACCCACTGCCAACCCATCCGCGGTTGTCTTTTCCACGGCAAGGCGTGGAGGCAGCGTGGGATTGCGTAACTCTGCCGGCCCATGCTGCATGGTTCACGAGCCAGCGCGCCGCGCGGCCCCAACGGCGCATGCGCCTGGCAAAGACGAGGCTCTCTTTGCGCCGTTCCTGTCGTGAGTGGTGCCTTCCGGGCCTTGCGCCGCGCCCCCACGGACCATCCGCGCCTTCATCGACAGAGCAAAACCTGCCTCTTGTCAATGGGGCGCGCCGGTTCTCGGATTTCGCGCAGCATTGTCGGGGGTTCGTAGAGAGGGGAGGTTATCCCAAGCCGTGTCAGGGAACGTACCCAGTGGGATGCTCACAGTTCCTCCTTACACGAGCTTTTTTCGAGCGACTCTCCTCTAATTCCCACCTCTGGCCCCTACCTCACCTTTATGCCCTCCCGACCCCCGACTTTTTGGCACTGTGCCATTTCCTGCGGACGCGTTGGTTTCCAGCTTGATTTCTTCACTCGCGCAGTACTCGGAGTTTCTGAATAAACGTGGGCCGGGCGTCAACCCCGCCGACAGCCCCACATCGACCCCCGTCGCGGGCAGCCACCGCGCGCCGAAGGCGCTCCGACCCCCGTCGCAGCGCGACGACGAGGCGAGGTTGACCCCCGTCGGGGCGGTACCCCCCCACGCTTATCAAGAAACCCATCGTATTTGTCGCCGGTGCCCGTCCTCTCGCGACCGTGGGCCGTGCACAGGCACAGGCTCTGGGCCGTCATGCTTGGCGGCGGGGGCCTTGCCTGGGCTGCACTGTTTCTCTGCGGCGCGAGGCCACCCAGCTGGAGGCGCTTTGCCTGCTTGCCCACAGTCCTCGTCAAACATCCGATGCGGACGACATGCGGCGGCTTTCGAGAAGTCCTCGGAGGCCGGCGTCTGAAAAATGGAAGCACGCTGCCGTTGCCCAGCGAATTGCACGGACAACATGCGAAGACGGGCCAGAAGCCTTCGGAGGCCAGTTTCCGAAAAACAGAGGCCCACCGTCTTTGTCAGAAAATATGCGACTGACATGCGGCGACGATCAAGGGGCCTTCGGAGGCAGGCGTCCGAAATCTGGAGGACCACCATCCTCGTCAACCAGAAACCAGGCGGCCGATTCGGAGGCCCCCAAAATTACTGGACGTCTTGTGCGCATTAATGAAGGCCCTCGAGCGGCCTCGGGCCTCGCACGCGCGGCTTCGCACGTGCGCCGTCCCAGAATGTGAGTCGGCGACTGTGGCGATGTCCCTCGGTGCAAAAAAGGAATGGCCATCATGGGCCATGCCCCAGTGGATGTCACAGGCGACGGCTCTCTGGAGCCTGGGCACGATCTACAAGCAGCTGGGAGACTTGTTTGCAATTCGGGGGCGGGGTATGATGGGGCCAGACGTCGCGCGGTCGGGCGACGTCCTTGACGGAGAAATGATGAGCACAGTCGGAAGGAGGAGGAGAAAGAGGAGGAGGAGGAGGAGGACGGGAGGAGGACGGAGAGGAAGAGTTGGATCAGGAGTATGCGGAGGACCCGGATCAGGAGGAGGAAGCGGGCAGGCGAATATGTACGAGAAGGGGAGTGTAGGAGCGGGGGGGGGGAAGGGGGAGGGATGATGAGGAGGATGAGAACGAGGATGAGGAGGAGAGTTACGACGTCGTCGTCATCGACGACGGCGCCGCCACGGGAGGCCCGTCCCCGTTTTGATTTGGAAACATATGGCAATAGAAGGCTTGGAAGTCCCGGGCGTGAAGAGAAACTTCTGGCGAGGGTGTGAGCGGCGGGACGTTGTCATGGAAGGGGATGTCGATTTCACCATCCGCGTGCGCCAATCAGAACGGCTGGAGACGTTCCGAGCGGAAGAACACATGGAACAAACAAGTTTTGATCTCCCAGTGGTGAAGTGCCAGTGCGCAGGAGGGACTGGCGGAGTGGTGCTCACAATGAGTAATCGTGAAGGTGCCCGTGGTGGCGGTGTGTACTCTTGGGGCTCGTTGCGTCCAGACGATCCCGGCGTCGCAGCCGCAAGTGGTGCAGGCCAGTGCCCTGGTGTTGGCCCACTTGCCGGCCGAGTTGCAGCCCGGGCCTGCCCACGAGAGCCAGGCGCTGCAGCCTGGCCAAGGTCGCCGTCGACGATCGGAGGGCACCGACTACACACCTGCACCGATCTTGGTTAGGCCGATCCTGGGCCCAGGATCGGTGTATACGGTAGGTTCGTGCCGTGTTGACTGGCGGCGACCTTGAACGCCGCGGGCGACCCAGAATCGTTCGATGTGGAACGATTTGGACGTTTCTGCAATGGCCGATCGTTCAAGGTTGAATCATCCCCGAGGTGTCAGGAACCAACGCCGGGGTCGACACGACACGAATCTGCCGTATGCATTCTGCCCAAGGCAGAAGGGCGTGTACCCCGATCCTGGGCTCAGGGTGATCCTGCTAAGGATCGGTGTTGGTGTAGAGGGGCGCCCTGAGAGAACGACGGGGTCTGGAGGCTTCGCTCGGAGGCCTAGAGGCTGGCAGAAATCTCAGTATCTCGCAGAAAGTTTTGGCGCTCCGCGCGGAATTCTCGGATCTGCGCTGAGCCCCCCCTGGCGGCGCCTCCTGCGCCGCCCCTGGCGCGCTCCGCGCGCCAGGGCGCCAGGGAGGGGCGCCCAGCGCAGATCCAAGAACTCTGCGCAGAGCGCCAAGAGTTTATGCTTATAGCGGTTTTTGTTGCTAGCGCCAATCCCAATATCGGCAGTTGCCTCCAGCGAGGGAAGATGATCCCGATCTTGGCAGCGGTGGTAATACTTGGGCTTCCTGGGTGGTCGAAGTGCCACCACCAGCACCAACATCTAAGATCATCTCCCCCCGGTGCTGGCGCAAATTTAGAAGCCCCCAGTTCTCGCCGCTCTCGGCCCTCCCAGGGTCCCGAGCCCCAGGGCGGCCAACAAGTGGATCAGGATGAGCGGCGGGTCCTCGGGGGTAGTTGCAGTCGACACTAGACTGATAGTAAGAACGAACGGCTTTCCAAGGTTCCTTGCCCCTCGGCCCATTCTTGGCCACTATCGCTGACCGCGCCCCGCTCGAAAAGTGCCGGCATGACTCTCTAAGGCCCTTGCATCCTTATCGTGCATCTGTACTAGTTTTGTGCTGACTGTAAGCTCTGGAGGTCAGGACCCGCTTCCCTCCGGAACCCCCCTCTTTGGTGGCAACAAGGGTTTGAGTAGGGGATCGATTGCAGAGTTGATTTGCCCCACACTTGATATTCCCAGTCGAATCCACGAACCATAAGTTCAATGTTCGTATATCTACGAACGCTTAATTTTAGTTTCCAGGAGATTCGACGGGAAAATCAATTTGGGGGCAAACTGATTATGTGGTCGATCCCCTACTCGAAGGGTGGTGTCTTCTTCCGTTGCCGCAGTCGGGGCCCTTGAAGCCGCAGTCGCTGCAGATGAGCACCTGTGCCACCACGGGCCAGCGCCGCCTGGAGTGGTTGGTGGACTCCCGCAAGCTCCGCGGCAACGACAAGCAGGCGCAGATCAAAACGCAAATGGAAGACTGGTATTTTCTGAGATTCCAGTGCCGCAATTTGTTCACAACTGGCTAGGTCTAATCTGAATCTGGCTGGTGCGTCACGCCGCTGACCCCCCAGCAGCCCTCGAAAGTGGCAATAGTTTCGCAGATCAAAGCCCTCCAGGGACGGCGAGGACTAGTCTGAATCTGTGTGGTGCCTCACTCCTCTGGACTCCTCAGCAAGCCTCGAAAGCGGTGACTGTTTCGCAGGTCGCAGCCCCCCAGGGATGGCGAGGTCTAAACTGAGTCTGAATCTGGGTGGTGCCTCACTGCGCTGACCCCACAGCAGCCCGCGAAAGTGGCGACAGTTTCGCGGATCGCAGCCCAGCAGGGATGGCGAGGTCTAGTCTGAGTCTGGGTGGACCCTTCAGCAGCCTTCGAAAGTGGCGCGAGTTTCGCAGATCGCAGCCCCCCACCGAGCATCCAGGCAGGACGACGAGATAGGAGAGAGGGTAGCAGGCAAGTAGGAGTGATGAGAGGAAGAGGAAGGCGGGAGAAGAAGGAGGTGTACGACCGCATTGCTCTATTCACAACGAGTACCCAGCGCAGGAGGGTTGGGAAAACATGGGCCCCGGGACCGGCCCGACGGCACCCCGCACAACTCAGGAACTTTGAGACGGGGGCAGTGCAAACATGGGTCAGCCAGAGCGCCGGATCTTGCAGGATCCTGCAGAACCAGGGGTTCAGGGGCAACGTTTGGGGGGGATGGGCATAGGGGGGAATGCATCGACCCCCAATCGCCCATTGACCGCCGATGGCCCCAACCTGCCCAGGAAGGTGCGGATTCACGATCGGAGGCCTATCGCCGATAAATCGGCGATGTATCGCCGATTCCAGGTCGATGCACCCCCCCCTATGCCAGTCCCCCCTATCGTTGCCCCTCAGAGGGACACTGGCCCAGGCTAGCAAGCAGGGTCCTGCAAGACCCTGCAGGATCATGCAGGATCCTGCAGAGCCCGACCCACCCTGGTGTGCACTGACCTGGGTCTTGAAGGCCTTCGCGGCGAAAGCCTTGGCAACGGGCCTGGCTGGCCTCGCTTTCACCGTCACCATTTTCCGGACACGTCGCCCATGCCGCTAAGCTGCCCAGGCACCCGCATTTGCTGCAGTCCCACGTTTCAGGGGCAGCGTTTGGAGTGGATTTGCTCAGCAGGGGAAGCATCGACCCCCAATCGCCCTCTCATCTCCGACAGGGACCCGATTGCCCCGCCCCGCCCAGCAACGTGCGGACTCGCCATCGTGGGCGTATCGCCGATCCATCGGGGATGTATCGCTGATTCCAGGTCTCATGGCTACGGAGCGCGGCAGACGAACCTGACCGCTGAAGGATGAATCGCGCACTTTGCTCGAGCCCGAGCCCTTGCGTTCAAAACGCATGACCTGAGAACGATTCGCGGTCGTCGGGGATCGTATGGCCTGGACCCGTGCTGGTTACGTACGCATGGTGATGATTCTGATGATGATGATGATGATGATGATGATGATGATGATGGTAACGATGGCGATGACGATGGTGATGTTGGTGATCACGATCATGATAACGATGACGATTCATTGGCGCTAAGCAGGTCTGGGGCTCCTCGATGGTGATGATAAGCTGGAGGTGGAGATCCCCATGGAGATGAATATTACGATGCAGATGATGGCAATGATAATGATGGTGATTATGATGATGACCATCATCATTAGCATGGTGACGATGATGACGACGATACCTGTGACGATGACGACGACAATAATGAGTATGATGATGATGCTGCTGATGATGATTATGATGATGTTAGTGACGATGACGATGGCGATGACGGCGCTGATGATGAGATGAGGACAGTGATGATGATGGTGCTGATGACGATGATTATGATGAGTAAGATGATGATGATGATGATGATGATGATGATGATGATGATGATGATGATGATGATGATGATAATGATGATGATGATGATGATGATGAAGATGTCGATACTGATATTGGTGTTGATGATGACGATGCTGCTGATGATGATGATGGTTATAATGATGATGACGACGATTACGCTGCTGATGATGATGCTGATGGTGGTGTTGATGATGATGATGATGATGAGGAAGAGGAGGAAGATGAGGATGCTGATGATGATGATACTGATGCTGATACTGCTGCTGCTGATGATGGTGATCGAGGCGATGGTCGCGATTGATTTGCAGATGAAGTAGGTGAGAGCGAAGGGAGGGAAACAGGCGTGTCGGGTCATTCCAGTCGTGAGTGTTCTTGCTTCGTCTTCATGCCCTCCTCTCCCCCATCGGTCGTGTCCTCCCGTCGAGGCGTTCGATAGTTCGGAGGAGGGCGATGAGGAGGATCAGGAAGAGGAAGAGAGGGAGCTGGAGGATTGAGCTATTTTGTATATATCGTGGTGCTGTTTTCGCTTCCATGTGGGGCTACGTGGTGAGGCTCGGCCCATCCCGCCACTGAGCCCGAGTCGTGAGTGAGGGACGTACTGGACCCCTCGGGGGAGCCTCTGGGAGATCCCTTGGTGGCCTCTTGGTAGCCTCTGGGAGACTTTTCTCCCAGGCTACTGCTGGTCTCCAGTTGTCGAAAAAGAAAAAACACAGAAACATAAACGTTTGGCGCTCCGCGCGGATTTCTTGGATCCGCGCCTGGGCCCCCGGGCGGCGCCTCCGGCGCCGCCCCTGGCGCGCTTAGCGCGCCAGGGAGGGGGGTCCAGCGCGGATCCAAGAAATCCGCGCGGAGCGCCAAAAGTTTATGTTTATATGTGTGTTTCTTCTTGTTTGTTGGGTTTGGGTTTCTCTTGAGGCCTCTCGGTGGCTCCTTGGCCTGCTTGTTTGGGTTTCTCATGAGGCCTCTCGGTGGCTCCTTACGGCGTTTTGGGGGCCTCTGAGGGGCTCCTGGGTGCTTGCAGGCGGTCTCCGAGAATTTGCTTTCCCCTGCTTGCGGCTGTCTTGGGGTTGTCTCGTGCGGATCTTGGGTAGTTTTGTGAGCATCTTGGGGGAGATCTTGGGCCGTCTTGGGAGCGCATTCGCAGTGTTTTGGGACGCCCTTGGGCTGTCTTGGAGCGTTCTTGGGTCGTTGTTAGATCTCTTTTGCCGTCCTGGAACTCCCTTTGGGCGCTCCTGCGGCTGTAGTGGGGATCCTGCATCTCGCGCCCGAGAGATCTGGAGTTCCTGGTGGGGACATGCCGGGGACTTCCCGTGGTATTTCTGAACAGGAGATCTTCCAGGCAGCCACGTGCCAGGGTTCAATACCCAGATATTCTACACTCTACACGTCCTCTTGGGTTTTGCAGCACGCCGTCGGCCTGTTTTCGCAAGGACCTCGAAAAGCCTATGCTTGTGTCGTTTCTTGATCTTTGAGGCGGTGTCGCCGTCCTTCGACATTGCCTGCGACGGCACGGAGATGCCGTTCCGGCTGATGCTATATCCGAAGAGGTCGTTCAAGAGCTCAGGCGGCAGGGGCAGCGTCACGCTCAAGTGCGAGGTTGACTTGGCAGAGGGTGCTGCGCCCCTGACGTACCGAAGCTACATTGGGAGCGGCGCGGCAGCATTGCCCAGCGCCCCCGTCACGCACGATTTCTCGAAGAGCGCGCTCTCTCGGTTGCCGAGCGACGTCGGGGAGTTGAACTTTTCCGCGGTCGTCGACGAGGCCCTGTCAGTCTTCGTAGTAGCCCTCGAGGTGCACAAGTGAGCTGGCTTTCTACGGCGTCTTTAGTTTCTGGCGCTTCGCGTATCCCCGCAAAGCACATCCAGGAACGACGACGACGACGGGAGTCAATCATCAAGGCTTTCGTTCTCTCGAGGCCATTCTGGACGACTTGTTGGTCTCTTATGGGGCAACTTGGGGGGCCGTCGATCATCAAGGGGGATCCCCAAGTAGCGCCCACTGAGTTCGATATATCCTCTCAATTTCCCCGAGCGGTTTTGGTGCATGTTCGTTCTTACATTATTTCTCTCTCTCTTTCTTTCTGTTTCTTGAGTTCTCTTCTCTGTCTGCCTCCATCTGCGTCGATCATTCTGGTTTCTAGCCAGGAAGGGTTATTCAGTGAGGGTCCTTTCAAAAAACGATTTCTCAGCGCGGTGCCGTTATGGAAAAAGGCTTCTCGGTAAGGACGCATTGGATAGTGACTCTTGAAGTGACGGTTTTGAAGGCAGCATTCCTTTACCCTGGACTTGGGAGTAAGGGCTCTTTAGTACTGGTTCCGGAGTACGGATTCTCCAATAAGGATTGTTTTGGTAATGGAGTTGTCGAAGGAGACCTTTTCCATACGGATGCATTCAGTAAGGCTGCCGCAGTAAGTATTCGGCCAGCAAGGGCCCTTTCAGCAAGGATTGCGAATTCCGGATCCCATCCATCAGGGCCCCCTTAATCCATATCGTTGTACTAATGGTTCCTTGGCAAGGGCACCGTTTAGTAAGGACTCTGTAGCACGGTTTCCGTGCAGTGCGGACTCCGTAATAAGGGTTCTTGGATACGGATTATTCCTCCATGTTTTCTTTCGTAGTTGTTTCTGATGTACGATTCTTTTTCATAGCGAACCTTGATCAAGGATGTCTTCCGTAAGAGGTTTCCTGGCAGTAATGATTTGGTTGAGGGTTGTTTGATACGGATTATTCGAATCTGGCCCCAACGGGGTGAAACAAGTAGGGATGGACATTTCAGCAAGGTGTCCTTATCAATGACTGTTTCAGCAAGGATTTGTGTGCAAGGGTTCTTCATCAAATAATCATGAATACCGCTTTGCTCCAGGTGAGTGTTTCTTAGGAAGATGCCCCTGCAGTGCGGATTTTCTCGTGAAGACTTGTTCGTAAGGGTTCCTTGGTAACAACTCTCTTTTAGTACGGGTACCTTGGCAGGAATATCGTTTTCATGAGCCCCGCAATGAGAAATCCTTAGTGGGCTTCACCGTATTGTTTATGTCGCATGGGTCCCTCAATCTGGCTTCCGCAGTGATGATTTGTTGGTATGGGCGCCTTGAGTAACGACCCTGTGCGAAAAATGTCGTGTAAGTATGACCCCGTGGATTATTGATTTGTTTGTACTAGTGTTTTGCAAGACGTTATATGTAAGGGTTCTTCCAGTTGCGGGCCATTCCGAGAGGAATCTATAGTGAGGGTTCGTTGAACAAGAGTTCATTCGTAATGACCCCACATAGCGAGGGTGCCGTTGGTAAGGGTGCCTTTTTGTGAGGATTGCTGAGTAAGGTTCCAGTAGAAAAGGATTTCCACAGGCAGGATTCACCCAGCAGGGTTCAGAACAGCGGGTCCCCTGGAAGGTTTTCCCCAAAGTGGATCCCGTTCGTACAGATTTTGGGGAAAAGGTTTCTTTTCGTATGTGTTCTTTGTAGGGAAGCGTTCCTGACGATGGGCTCCTTCCTCTAATACAGGTTCCGCTGTTGGAGGCTCTTGTAGTACGGATTGCAGAGTAACGACCTGTATCTATATCTAATGGAACAAATAGGTCATATGCTCGGATGATGACTCCCTAGAAGTTGACCCCTGGTGGGGGCCTCCATATTGCACCATATTATCTTAAGGGCTTCGCCCTCTGCCGCCGGCCACCCTATTACCAGCGCGTGCGGCTGCGTGGACAGTGCCGTGGGCATTTCTCGTGGCAGGCTTCTCGGCAGCGTCTGCGGGTCATTGTTGGAGTTTTTTGGGAGCCGGTTTGGAGCCTTTTGGGGCATAGGTTGGGTTTTTTGGGGGTTTTCTTGGGGCCTCTTGGGGGCCTCTTGGGGGCCTTTGGGGGCCTCCTGGGACCTTCTTGGGCCTTTCTTGGGACCGTCTTAGGGTTCATTGGGGCCGTCTGGGGCGCCTCTTGGGCCGCCTTGGGGCCCTCTTCGGCCTTCTTGGGGTCGTCTTGGGAGCCTCTTGGGCCCCTCATGGGAGCTTCGAAGGCCATCGTGGGGCGATCTTGGGAACCTCTTGGTCCGTCTCGGAGGGTCGGAAAGCCGAAAAAGCGAGAAGGCCTAAAACTTTCAAAATCGATAGGAACATCGTTGATTTGTGTTTCGTGGGGCCCTCTTGGGAGGCCTCTTGGAGGCCTCTTGCGCCGGCTTGGCAGCATCTTGGGCCGTTTCGAGGCCATCGCGGGCCATCTTGGGGCCATTTTGTGCCGTCTTGGGCTCCTGAGGCTCTCTTCGGAGCCTCTTCGGGCAATCGTGGAGGCCTCTCGGGCCGTTCTGACCGCGCGGTGGCGTCAACGACAACACAGAACACATGGCAGCATGCGTGCACACACGCACACACACACACACACTTTCGCAGCCTCGCGCCCCCGGAATGGGCTGGCGGATATTATGATATGCTATAATCTGATAGAAGACAGAAGGATGACTCATTGTCCCTGTTATAATATGGTCGAGTATGATACAATATAGAACGGCCATTCGTGTCGCGACCCGCCCGCGACCAACCTCCCGCGACCCATCCACGACCCGCCACGCGATCCACCCGCGACCCACCCGCCGCCACAAGAGCGCGTGATTCGAGGGGGCCGCCGACCCTCGCCGAGTCGCAGGCGTGTCAGCGTGCCTGCCCATGTGGCCCATCCACGGGGCTCCACTGTTAGGATCACACCCGTCGCACCTATAGGGTCCCCGCACATATAAGGTCGCATATGTCTGTAAGGTCACACGGCCCAGTCCACGAGGGCCCTTCCATAAGGTCCCATCCATGAAGTCCACAGGGCCCCCCACACAGAGAACGGCCCATCAGGTGCGCGTGCCTTCGCACGCTGTTTAAACACAACACTTTTTGGTAGGCGGGGCGAGAGCGAACCTCTTCCGCTAAAAGCTAGGCGGGCTACGCACAGGTTTAATTAGGGAGACAGGGCGCAGGCAGGCGGGGCCTCAGTCGGCCGGAGTGGGCGGGGCCCGGGGAGCAGGCGGTGCCGAAGAGCTTGCACAGGAGAAGGTACGGCTGTTTAAACAAAACACGCGAGCGTGTGATATTTTCTCGTCTAAGCTGACCTAACATTTCTTGTTCCTGGTAGCCCCCGGACGGTGTGACATGTTTTCCGCTTCCAGGGAATGCGAATCAGTATTGATATTCCTTGGTCTGATATTTCAAAACCCCGAAGGCCAACCCCCTATGCCTCCTCTTAGGGCCCTTCCTGGAAAACTCCAGACCCTCAGGGCCCCTCCTCGGGCCCTTCCTGGAGGGCCGAGCCCGTCGGGCCCCTCCTAGGGCCCGTCCTGGATTCAAAACCTTTAGGGCCACTCCTGCAGGGCTATATATCATGGTATATTATGGTGAATAATAGCGTAATGTAGTATATTGTAGAGTGTTCAGAACGTCGGGATGTCTCCAGCCAGATCCCCCCGAAGAATTTGACCCCTGGGCTTGGTTAGTAAGAAAAAAACAAACTTCGCCGGAATAACTTTATCCCAAGCCCTGCTCGATACATCTTCGCCGCCGGAATAAATTGACCCCCCGAGCTTGGGCGCCCGAAACACTTGACCCTCTGATCCCGCACGGGAGTGCTATCCGATTCAATGGACGCAGCAGCTCAAAACCCTAGTAAAATCAATGGTTGTGAGCACATACTGCGATTCGAAATTCGGACGAGAACGCCGCTTTCAAGCTCTTGAAGCCCCCAAACATGCGGTTGGGAATGGTGTTTTGGTGTTCGACAAGCAGTTACAAATCGGCTGGGAATTGTGTTGTGCACGCGTAGTACCAAGGTGGGAATATGCATTTCATATGCCGTAGAATCATCCCATTGTATCTTAACACGCTCACAATATTCATATGTCACCCCTCCCCCCCTGCCGGCCGGACTGAAGGATGATTGAGGAGAAGGTCAGGAGGAACACTGGCGGGGAGTAGGAGAAGGAGGCGAGGTGAGCAGCAGGATATAATTCACAAGGAACAAGCTGACCCAACCGCGCCGTGACCCACCCGCCGGGACGACGACAACAAGGGACATCGTAAGTCCGTTGTGTCTCCTCCTGTTTTGTTATATTCTGGCATATTAAGTTGCTCGAGCCAAATCGTTCAAGTATGATATACTTTGATATAAGTATGATGTGGAGTCCAGACACTGCCATAATAGGTTGTTACATTTAATCATATGGTGTATATTCTTACGTTCTATAACATGATATAGTGATGGTATACGATGCCGTGCGGCAGGACGCCTCTCAGGGGCTCACGGAGAAGCACTGCACCAATACATCTTCAAATTACTTGGATATGGAGTTGACTAACATCGTGCAGTAGATATGATGACGTTCGCGACTACAATGCAGCGCCTCCTTACATTGTTTCGCAGTTGCGATGAGGAGGTGGCTGTGCCCCAAGAGGGGCGCATCATGACACTGCCGATAAGATTATTAGCATATCGGATCACCAACCATATGTTGTGGTGTTTGGTGTGAACGCTGTACGTAAGTACGTCATACTTCGAGATTGTCAGTACGGAGGGATTTGAGTGGGCTGGTTACGACAATCGTGACACGTTGAAGAGCTCGATGGTGCAGCAGCGGGAGCACAGCATACATATATTGATTCTCAGCGAGCTGCACAATATTACGCCACATTACTGAAGGTGGATGACGTCACCATCATCATGACTGAGTTGTGCGGATTCTCGTTGGGTACCCTTTCTTGGATAGCATGGAGAGAAGTTTCGTCGACGTGCAGATCTGACGGTGCGCTCGTAGCGTTGTGGGAAGATCGTTGCATGGCAGTGCCTCCATCGGTGGACGGACACCATTGACTTTGGATCATGCGTGTACATGTGCCGACGAGCTGTTCCGCAGCATATCGC